CCCAATTTATACTGGAACCTGGGGTTGTTAATAGTAAGATAATTTGCTGTTTAAGTAATGTTTAGGGAGTAATTCCAGTTACTCCATTTGGAAGTACCAAAATCAGATTGAGAAAAATAGATGTCAAGCAGCCCAAGGAGTATTCTCTGATTCTTGGATTGCAAGGTAGAGAGAGTAGAAATCACTAGAGCTCTTTTTCCGTGTTTGGTACTTCTATACTGGTTTTCTTTTTCAGGCCATGGATGCAGCCCAGCTTGCAGATGATCTGAAAGCCCAGCTGGAGCTGGCTCAGAAGAAGTTACATGACTTCCAGGATGAGATCGTGGAAAACAGAGTGACTAGAGAGAAAGAGATGTTCAACTTCAAAAGGGCTGAGGTGTATACCTCACGCACACCTCCAATACCTGTCTGTGTTGGTGTCTGTCTCCTTGTGCATTGAACTTGGAGCAGGTTCCGACTATGCTATTTTTTTGGGGGTCCAGTTTCACTTGGATTCCAGCTACGTCAGGTCTTGGCTCTTTCAGGTTTTTCCACTGATAACTAACAATACATGTGGAACTGGATGATAATGTAATCTATCAAGGATGAAAGTATGGGTGGAGTGATTTAGCTGGGTGCACTGTTGGCCAGGTGCTAGTTCTCTTTTTCACTGAAGAAGCTGTGACAGAGAATATGCTGCTCATTTATTTGGTCTCTTGTTTTTATTCAGGAAGATATTTCTAGGTTACGCAGGAAGCTGGAGACCACTAAGAAGCCTGACATGGTTCCCAACTGCGATGAGATATTGATGGAGGAAATCAAGGATTACAAGGTGAGTAGCCGTCTCTATGAACTTTCCTCTCTGACTCTACTTTAGTCAAAAAGGTGTGTAGTCATGTTTTTGGTATCTGACATCTCTTGTCTGTAACTGTGGCACTGTGGACCTTCCTTGCATTGAAGAACTCCTATTCTCCTTACAAGGAATTGAAGTAGCTTCATTTTCAGTCATCTTTTTAACACACCTAGTGCAATGCAGTGGGCCCTCACTGTAATGTTTCTGTCTTTCAGGCCCGCCTGACCTGCCCGTGCTGTAACATGCGCAAAAAGGATGCTGTGCTTACAAAGTGCTTTCATGTCTTCTGTTTTGAGTGTGTAAAAACACGCTATGACACTCGGCAGCGTAAGTGCCCCAAGTGCAATGCTGCCTTTGGTGCCAACGACTTCCATAGGATCTACATCGGCTGATTCTTGCCACTAGAGTGACAGAAAGTTGCTGCTTATGCCAACCACCCAGCCTCCCTCACTTTCTGTGCTTGTCACCTTTGGGACAGTCAGTGCTTCTGTCAGCTGATCTGCAGTCTCTTCTGGGAAGTTTTGTTAGGTTATGAAAATAATTGATTTCTTTCTTGTCCTTCTTTTATTTTTGCCCTGAGTTTTCATGGATTCTTTGTGACTGAGAGCACATTTCCCATCCATCGTTTTCACATTGCCGAGTTGTGAACATCATAACGAAGTCCTGCCTTGATGGCGTGGAAGCTGAGGTGCAGCAGAGATAAATTAGGCCATTATTTGTGGAGTTTGCTTTGGACGTTAATTATTAAATCCTGTCAAGGGATGGTAGTGTTTCTGAGAGTGAATAGATTCCCAGTTTAAGGGCCAATTAACAAATCAAGTAAATGAATCAATGATGAGTCAATCAGGTACATCTGTAGACTTCAATGGAGTTACTCCTTAGCCATGTCTTTTACTGAGTCAGGGCAAGAATGAGTGAAGCCTCTTGCATTAGTGAATATCGTCCCTGCCACCAAAAGCAAACTTGCATCTTGGTATCCAGAAGAGGAGACAGATGAGATGTTGGAGAATCATTGAAAATAGCATTCCATGGATGAACCCTGGTTGATGTGGACATCTTCCCCATAGGATGAGGCATTGCTATCATTGTACTTAGTCTCCAGAAATGAATTTACTGTAGGAGTTACTTTGTTGCAACTTCGCAAAGATTAACCATGTAATGCACAGAATCTAATAAAAGCTATTGTCTGCATTATTTTTGTTTTTCTTGCCTCTGGTAGTATCTGTGCTCCTGTTCTTTCTCCAGTTATTGGAAACTTCTTTTACAAGCTTTAAGCTTCGAAAGTAGAGATTAATTTCTTTCTTCCTCTGTTTTCAAAAAAAATGGTTAATGAAAACAGCCTTTGTCCTTTTGGCTGTATCTTCATTACCTTATTCCTGACACAACAGAAGGGCCAAGTTGCAAGAAGAAGCTGGCATGCTGAGAGTTCGTGGTGTGGCTTAAGTTCTGTAAAAGCCTGTGTAGAAGAAATGAAAAATGAACCCTCTCTGCTTTCACTGGAAGTTGCTCCTTGGACTTCAGTTTAACAGTGTGTTAGGAATACCGATGGTAGATTTTCTGGTACAGATGCTTGTTCATCAAAACCAGGATCTAGGTTGCAACAAACATTGTCTGGATCTTCAAACAGCTCTCCTGTAACAACAGACTTCCTGCTATGGCTGTGAACCACAGTCTGAATTAAACAGCCCTTGTAGAGATCCAAAGCCGCCCTTTTACCTTTTCCCAGTCACTAGTCACCGCTCTACTGAAAGTCAAGCTTGAAACTTCCATGTGTATACTGGCAGTGTCTGGTCATGGTAGGAAAAAGCCATTTGAAATAGTCTGTATTTGTTTCATATATGAGGTCTGGACACCTGTTTTCCTCTTTCCTGACCAAGGAAAAAAAAAAGATTATTTTAAAAGAATAGTGAACCACATCCTTGAAGCTCATTTTGCAAGTGACTAAATTTCTTACTGTGTTTATAATTCAAACATTGAGAAAGTGAAAATTTTAGATTTGACTTGCCAGAATGAGTGGAAATAATTAAAAGTTTATCAGGATTAGAAGTATTTTGGGATGAAAAAAGGGAAGGGGTGACAAGTATTAGCAAAAATTGGTTTAAATTAAGTGTCTGAGCCAGAGT